CTGTAACTACCCTAAACATACACTGCAGTTAGATTTATTAGAGAGTTCTGTAAATTTTTCTGATGAAACTACATAATTATAACGTATTAAGCCCCCAACAAAAAAGATGTTCAATAACTTTTTTAAAAATCTTATTTAAGAAATACCATATTTCTACTGTTTTATTTATTACAAATATGATTTTTATTAAAGATGTTCTTACCTTTGCACTGTTTATTAACACATACATAACCGGATCCACAATCTTTGTCAATTTCACATTCATACTGAACTGTAAAAAAAAGAAAACATTCCGTCAACCAGAAAGAAAATGATAATAAGCCAAGTTTTCATTAAAACTTCTTATAGTTTATTTATTAACGTAGTTCAGAAAATCCTGCAGGGTTGTTAACTTTGGTCATTATGAGAAGAGAACAAAAACCTAAGAAATGTATACTCTTTGAACTGATACTTAGGATAAGATGTCTTCCTACAGAAAATCGTATTTAACATACAAATACTTGTACAATTATCAATTAAATATAATTCTAGCTTCTACTTTAGATTAAATCATTTACTAGAATGTTCTAATAGGATGTGTTCAACTATTTTCTGCTCAAAAATGTGTCTAATTTCCTACGTTTAATCAAAGATTCTACACTACTGTACCTAGAGTGCACTGTTTTAGAGGTGATCCAGTATATCCTGGAAGACAGGTGCATACAGCTTCATGGTTAAGAGCACGGCACAGTGTGTTAACTCCACAGATTCCTCCGATGTTACATGGATTCTGACATATCCTGTTGATGCAGGCTTCATCGAATGGACAGTTGCTGTGTGTCCGACATCCAGCTACATATCGAAATTACAACAATAGTACTATATTTGTAAACTTGCGCATATTTTAAAACAACAGATATGACTGAACTATCAGAAACTCTTTGACTATGCAGCATTTAATGCTTGACCATGTAACATCAGTGAAACTACAAGAAATATTTCCCATGATGCCTAAACGTACAACACCTTTGTACCGGTTTCTTCAAAATATGCACAAGATAAATATCAGAATCTCTTAAGATTGTTGAAATAAACAACAACAATAAAACAGTTTTATAAAGAACAAATCAGATATATCATTATATTGTAAAAATAAGTTAGGTCTAAGATTTGAGTATCATATAATGTAACTTCCTGGCATTTTTAAATCTTAAAAATATTGTTAAAAAATCCCCATTCTGCTTCATTCAACTAACATTATGAAGAAATATGGCACATATGCACCTATATACTAAAATCTAACATAAGAAAATCTGTATTGTGTTTCATTCAACAAACACCAAGTAGAAATGCAGTTACATATCTGTACACTGAGATCTAATATAACCAAATCCCTGTTCAATTTCATTCAACAAACACCAAGTAGAAATGCAGTGACATATCTGTACACTGAGATCTAATATAACCAAATCCCTGTTCAATTTCATTCAACAAACACCAAGTAGAAATGCAGTGACATATCTATACACTGAGATCTAATATAACCAAATCCCTGTTCAATTTTATTCAACGAGTACTAAGAAGAAAGAATAAACTGAACTTACCTATACACTGAGATCTGACACAGATAAATCCAATGGCACATTCTTCATCTCGCCTGCATTCTATATCTTCAACTGTAACACCGACAACAGGAAATTAGTAATGAATATTTGACAAAAAAAATTACTTTCAACTTCAGAAAGAAAATTAATACTCTAATACCAAAACTCAACTTAAGCCTTCTTCAGAATGTAATTTAATACAACAAATGAGTGTACATCTGATATACGTTTGATTATATGGCATCCTGATGGAGAGGTAAGTTGACATACTGATATTAAAATATTCTACTACTATACTTAAATTAGCACTTTCTACATTAAAAAAACAAATGAAAACATATAATGAGCAAAACTTTTATTCTGCTAGTGAACTCATATTAACAGCTTACTAATTTTTTTTTACAAGAATTAAAAGACATGTTAAAACAATGCATATTAAAGAAAAACAAAACATGCAACTATAAAAAGATATACGTTTTATCAAAAACTTAAAACACACACACACACGCTATCTTTTTTGGACAAAAGTGTAAAGTATGAACTACAAAAAATTTCAAAATATTTAAAACACACCTCTTGAGCAAAGAATATTTGGATCTCCCGTGTATCTGTTCGGACAACGGCACACGGGACGATGATTAACAGGTTGACATAATGCTTCCTGACCACAAGCACCACTCTGTTCACAGGGATTAACACATTGACCAAGGATACAAGCTTTGTCGATTGGACAGTTTCTATCTGATCGGCAACCAACTACAAGAATAGAGGAACAATAAAAACATCAAGAAATCAACAAAGCATAATAATATTATCACAGGAATAGAGGCACAATAAAAACATAAAGAAATCAACAAAACATAATAGTATTATCACAGGAATAGAGGTACAATAAAAACATCAAGAAATCAACAAAGCATAATAATATTATCACAGGAATAGAGGCACAATGAAAACATCAAGAAATGAACAAAACATAATAATATTATCACAGAAATAGAGGAACAATAAAAACATCAAGAAATCAACAAAACATAATAATATTATCACAGGAATAGAGGCACAATGAAAACTTCAAGAAATGACCAAAACATAATAATGTTATCACAGGAATAGAGGAACAATAAAAACATCAAGAAATTAACAAAACATAATAATATTATCACAAAAATAGAGGAACAATAAAAACATCAAGAAATCAACAAAACATAATAATATTATCACAGGAATAGAGGAACAATAAAAACGTAAAGAAATCAACAAAACATAATAGTATTATCACAGGAATTGAAAAACAATAAAAAAACTGCAACAGTAATGCATTTATAAGACCATATTCATGAAATTGAAATTGAGAAAAACAAAACAGGTGAAGAAATATATAGCTCGGTTAGAAGTATGTAAATAATGCAACAGAAAAAACGTAATAAGGTAATATATATATATATATATATATCAATTTCAACCATATCTAATGAATAGCAAGCAGAACTTAGATATTTAGCTGGTAATCAAAGTGATAGAGATAGTAACATACCGATACATCTTTCATTCTGGCAGATCAGACCTGGAAGACAATCTGGATCTGTTTGGCATTCTGTCAGAACAGGAACTGAAAATAAAAGATGTTGAAAATCATTTGCATTTTGAATTCACTGAATTTTGAAATATAAAAGATTGGTCAGAGTAAGGGTAGCAATATAACATCTTAATCATAAAAGCAAGGTCAACCATTTTCTGGATGTTGAAATATAAAAGATTTGCCAGAGTAAGGGTAGCAATATAACATCTTAATCATAAAAGCAAGGTCAACCATTTTCTGGATGTTGAAAGGACTGAATAATTACTATGAACAGAATGGTAATAATCATACCGGGTATGAAGTGCTCTAGTTAAGGTTACGATAAACATGTACTTCACTGAGTGCTCTAGTTAAGGTTACAATAAACATACTTCACTGAATGCTCTAGTTAAGGTTACAATAAACATGTACTTCACTGAGTGCTCTAGTTAAGGTTACAATAAACACATGCTTCAGTGAGTGCTCCAGTTAAGGGTACAATAAACACATGCTTCAGTGAGTGCTCTAGTAAAGGTTACAATAAACATGTTTTACTGAGTGCTCTAGTAAAGGTTACAATGAACACGTGCTACTGCGTGCTCTAGTAAAGGTTACAATGAACACGTGCTTCACTGAATGCTCTAGTTAAGGTTACAATAAACATACTTCACTGAATGCTCTAGTTAAGGTTACAATAAACAT